GTCATCAGTGGCCTGCCAGGAAAAGATTTCAGTCAATAGTATTTCAAATGAGTTGGCAAGCAGTATTAAGAAAAAAAAAATTAGTTGAGACTCTGCTTTTCACAGCATGCCCTGAGGTGTAGGGATAGAAAGTCCTATATACTGAAGGTGCTTATCTGTCTTTATTTTCCAGGAAGCCTGGCTCTGACCTGCACGGCCCTTACCGCACCATGTTCAGGGGTCTCGCAGCACTGGTGACACCACTGGACACCCACTCACAGCAGAGCGAGGATCCTGAACAATCCCAGCCAGCTCAGCCTTCCAGGGGACCTAGAGCTGTGGCTAAAATTAATTCCTCATGCTCAAGTCACCTTTCACCTCCTCTCCCTCGTCCTCACCACTGCATTGTGCAGAGAGAGCAATCGGAGGCTTTATAAGGAACATTTGTCAGTGCCTGGGTGATCGCTCTGGACTGATTCTTCTTTTATTTCCCTCTCCTGTTCTTTAGCCTTTCTATTTTCAGTTTCAAAGAAAGAAGTTGCTTTTGAGATCTATCTCCCAGAATTAAGGGATATACGATTCCAATTGCTACAGAACTATTTTCATTTTGTGTCCTTCCTGAGTCACAAAGACCCAACGCTACATGTCCTGCACCCAGGTGCGTTCTAAATATTTCCCTGTGGGATGTTTCCGTAGAGCCCCATAAAATCCTATAAATGCCCATGAGAAGATTGGAGAGTTGACCCATTCATCCTGGTGCACAGTTGACTCATTCAGACCTGGTGAGCAGGAACAATTCCCTATGAGTGTGCCCTCAGAATGGGATAACTTAAGTAAATATTCTATAGGAGCAATAGGAAATATCTGTTTCCTTACTGTTTAAACATTATCGGTACACAAGTAGCACAAGACTGAATTCCTCTTGATGCTGTCTTAATATTCCTTAAGTAAATATTCTATAGGAGCAAACAGGAAGTATTCTGTTTCCTTACTGTTTAAACATTTGCAGTACACAAGTAACACAAGACTGACTTCTTCTTGATGCTGTCTAAATGTACCGTTATCATGAAACAGACTGGTTTAGAAAAAAAGAAGAGACATCACTTTTGCAGAAAGCGTGACAGTATTGCCTCACCAGGTTGGTGGCTTTGTTCTTTGATGCCCAAATGCAGGAGGTGTTTTGATTTTAGGATTTAAATAAATTAAACATGGTCAGACTGTTCTAATGGTAATTTAAATTGATCTTTTCAATAGCACAGGGAAGCAGGCAGGAGAGAAGATAAGGTCCAGGGTCAGAGGTGAGCCACTTCTAGGAAGGCTCGCTCAAATGGAACATAAAATCCCAGTGTTGGACTGAATCTGATATATAATGCCACTTCCCAAGCCAGGCAGCAAGGTAACAGCCCCTTTAAATACTCAGTATTCATTCAACTATCTTAGGGGAGCACATTTCCAGTATTGAAGGACAGCTTGGACTCATTGGTGTTAATAAAACTTTTTCTGGGTTTTTTTTTTTGAGACAGTATGTATGTCATCCTTAGTAGGGTGTGGTGGCGTCACAGCTCACAGCAACCTCAAACTCCTGGGCTTAAGGGATTCTCTTGCCTCAGCCTCCCAAGTAGGTGGGACTACAGGCACCTGCCACAATGCAGAGCTATTATTTTTGTTGTTGTAGTTGTCATTGTTGTGTAGCTGGCCTGGGCAGGTTTCGAACCTGCAGCCTCAGTGTATGTGGCTGGCACTATAACCACTATACTCCAAGCACCAAGCCAAAACTTTTTCTAAGTGAGGATTTTTGACTCCATATCTCATAATAACCACCTTCATGTGATCATTGAAAACTGACCTTTGAAATATGATACTCATTTAAAGAAATAAATCAATCTAAGATGGCATGAGAAGAAAGCCACCCATTTCTAACTATGTATTTTTAAAAATATTCCTCAATTTGCTCTGGGAACAACAGTGAAAATTGGGAGACTCTGGGCAACTGGGAATAGAAGAATCTGGTCCTGTTCTTTTGTCATTTACTCTGTGACCTTAGGAAAGAATATGGCATCTCTTCAGGTCTCTGTTTTAATTTGAAATAGAAAAGAAAAATATCCATGCTACCCAATTTTCAGGGTATGTGATAGTAAAAATGAGTTCATCTGTACTAGCAAATATGTCATTAATTAAAAATGCTACCCAAATGCTTAGTAATCTTCACAGCTAACATTTTTTGAAAACTAACTTGGCTCGGCACCTGTGGCTTAAGCAGCTAAGGCGCCAGCCACATACACATGAGCTGGTGGGTTCGAATCCAGCCCGGGCCTGCCAAACAACAATGATGGCTGCAACCAAAAAATAGCCCGGTGCTGTGGCGGGTGCCTGTGGTCCCAGCCACTTGGGAGGTGGAGGCAGGAGACCCACTTGAGCCCAGGAGTTGGAGGTTGCTGTGAGCTGTGATGTCCTGGCACTCTACCCAGGGTGACAGCTTGAGGCTCTGTCTCAAAAAAAAAAAAAAAAAAAAAAAGAAAACTAACTAAATTGTCCCAGTATTATGTTGAACATTTTACAGGTGTTCAAGTCACCTAATTTTCATATTAACCTGGAAAGTTAATACTCTTATTACCCCATTTTCCAGATTAGGAAATAGAGACTTAGGAAAGTTCAATAACTTGTCTAAATTTTGGAACTGGATCATCAAATAGGAAGAATAAACACCTACTACTTGGAAAACAAAACAGTTAAAAAATGAGAATTTAGGAAGAAAGAATCTGATGCATTTTTTAAGCATTACAAAAATCTTTGGAGGAGAAAAATCAGAACTATTAGGGAATTCTTATTTTATAATTCATTTCTACTGTATTTTCAATTATATGGTGGGGGGTAGACACCATATTTCTGTGCTTAGAGTATTTCAACTCTTAACTGCCTTAGATTCACAGCTGATGAAGCTAAGATCCTAACTCTAGCCAGTTGGCCCCAAGTTCTATACTTATAACCACTATACGGTACCTTGTCCTATAATAATAACACACATTATTACTAAATAGCAGTTACCAGTGGTAATGATAGTTTTCAAGAGGAAGCAATACCATTAAAGTTTTATTCTGTTTTGAAAACATAGAGGAAGCAACCCATAATTTGGAACTAAAGATATAAAGATAAGGACACACAAGGTCTCCTGGTTTCTTCCATACCTCTGGCTTGAGCATGACCATTAAAGAGCCTTCCTAATGCTGGCAGCAAACCCTACCGGCTCAAGGCAAGTGGTTAACATCAGTTTAGAAATCTTTGAAATGCCTAATAGAAACACAACGAACCCCCCACAGAAGCACCAGCAGGGCCAGTGATAACGTGTGGAGAGAGAGAGATTGATTTTTCTTATGAGCCAGTGAAGAACTCTTAAGATCTTGGGCTATTTTGATTTCTCAAGTAGCCCCTCCCCCTTCCTTTAGGGTTTAAACGAGCATTTAAAAATTAGGTCTATCAGCTGGTAGTGACTTTAGATGATGATAAGAATTCATAGCAGCTGCTAACACCTCTGGCTTATTTCAAATGCTCAAAGATAACCTGGAAAGGTCATTTTTGTGCTTTAATCTGAGAAATTCTGAGACCCCAGCCATGGCTGAGCTGGCTAGTTTCTGAAAACTGAGATGATGGACGAATAGGTAGGGGGGATTTTCTGCTTCAGTCCCTCAGGGGTCTTGTGTGGGGTCTATGGATGCTCTTATAATTCCTAGCCCAGATATTGGGAAACGCTGGTGATTAGGGAACCAACCAGCAGCAGAGATTCTTCTGACTGACAAAGAAAATCAGTGCTGAGACAGGCATGAAGGCGCAATCATATCCTTCAAGCCATTCCAAAGTCTTAGGCCACAAATACAGCAATTTACTGTGTATGTACCTCTCAAGCTTGGTAACTATTGCTCTGTGCTTCCTTGGTAGCGGGCCCTCCTCAGTGTGAAGAAGTGAGAGGGGGGAAAGCTAAGGAAACATTTGAACATCCCTGTTAAAGAGGGCAACCTTTTCTCCCATTGTCCTTCATTCAGCCATCATCTGGTCCTAGGAATTTGCTGCTGAATACTTGACTGTAAAATGCAGACAAATGATTAATTCCTTTCCCTCCCACACAAGCATGCTTGCTGTTAAAAGGACTATGGAGGCCCCACTTAGTGGCTCACTCTTGTAATCCTAGCACTCTGTGAGGCTGAAGCAGGTGGATCACTTGAGCTCAGGAATTCTAGACCATCCTGAGCAAGAGCAAGATCCCATCACTACTAAAAATACAAAATGGTGGCAGGTGCCTGTAGTCCCAGCTACTCAGAAGGCTGTGGCAAGGGGATGTGTAAGCCCAAGAGTCTGAGGTTACTGGAAGTTATGATGGTGCCAGGGCAATGGAGTAAGACTCTGTCTCATAACACCTCCCCCCAAACAAACAAACAAACAAACAAAAACAACTATGGAGGACCCAATTCTGAATGCCAAGGCAGATTGAGAGGAAAAAAAAAATAACTATCAAAGTTTCAATCAAATGAATAAAATTACACCTCTTATTCTTACCCTGACTTGATGTTCATCAAGTCAAGTTTGGTAGACTTCCTTTCACAGTCCTTCTGGCACCTCTGACCATCTGTACCTTCGACTACACCTGAACAAATGACTTCACAAAGCTCACATCTCAAATTGATTATCCCATGATTACCATAAATAGCTTGTGAGAGAGATGGTTTCCTTCCCTCCACTGCCCACCACCTGCGGTGCCCCAGAAAACCTGCAGTAATTGTCTGTGGTATGAGCCAGTCAGGCAGTTATCAGTCAAAGATTGACAGAAAGTGTTCAGTGCATAGATAGTAAGTCTCCAGAAGCTCCCTACACTGCTTCAAGTCCTAAGGAAATAACTTATCTTCAGAAAACATGAATGTGTGCTTCACTTGGTGTCTTATGATTTGGTGACAGGCATGAGAAAAATCACCATTTAGAAATGAGGATGGGAGAGTGAAAGCAAGTACGACTGCTGAGAGTACAACAGATACCTGTGGGGTAATGCTCATTCACTGGCCAGTTGTCCACCTGCAGGGTGGCATTGCCTCCATTCCTGGTGAAGCGCACCACGTGGTATTTGCCATCATTGACGGGGGTTCTCTCCTCTTTGATGGAGATGTCCACTGTGCCAATATTGAAGACGACTCCTATTTTCCCCTGTTCCTGTAATAAAGAAACACAAAAGGCATAGTTATCACCAACCACAAGGTTTTCTCCCTTTAAAGTTGATCCTCCATAACCCTGTAGTTGCCCAGAGGGAACTTTCAGCATGAAGTTAAGAATAGTATTCTATATTTCTCCATAGGCTTTCATCCTGAACATAAAAAACCGATGGTATAAAGCTACCCAGATTGTTCTCACTGGCTGCAATGCACAGGTTACATCACTCAATTGCCCTCAGTGGATATCAAGCCTGGAACTACCTAACAACTAGGCAATGACAATGCACAGTTCATTTATGTGGCATGAATGAGACTCATATTATAAGAGGGGCTGATAAGACACTGAAACCTAAATCATTTCTCAATTCAGACTTTCAATTCAAGAGAAAATGTGAGTTTGTCTACATGTTTTAGGACATTCAAGACAAAGAAGAGAGGTACAGAATGGTTAGAAACCAGTGCCAGAGGAGCTGGTGTGATACATTAACTCCTCGTGATTCTTTCTATAGGTCTGAACCATCTGGAAACATATCCTTAGCAGAGGCCAGTGACACCAGGCTGGAGTTTTGGGAATTAGATAGCTGCCACTTTTCCTAAACGTGTAGCCCTACTTCTCATGTTAATACATAGAGACATGTAACATCCAGTGCCATTGCTTATGCACATGCAAGAAGAGAAACTCTGTGGCCAGGAAAGACTTATAGGAATGGAAATTGAGATGAATTCGAGAAGCCATGGCACTATAGCAATGCAGATGATAATTATGGAGATAGTGATGGTGGTGGTGATACCACCATCCACCTCCTGGGAATGGCACAAAAATATGGAAGCAGATATGGTAATGCCAATAGGCTAAATCTCTCATTTTTTTTCTCCACTAATCTGGGCTACTACTATGAGTTGAGGTTTAGTATTCACAATGATGTCTAAAATGAAAGTAATCTCACTGACAAATACAATTAGCTTTTTGAAATCTCTTGGAAAGGCATCATGGTGTTGCAGGGTGTCAGAGGGATTGGCAAGAGGTTGAGAATGAAAGGATAACCACAAGGATAATAAAATTTAGTTGGAATGCTGACATTCTGCTGGACTGAGTCACAATGTTTATTCAATAGCCTTTGTTATCATCTATTTCCTTAGTCAAGAAGTAGAAAGAAGAGAAGGAGAAGATGAAGGATACGTGAAAAGCATTTCAGAATTCATATACATTAAGATACAGGAAAGAGTTCGCCGAATGACAGATTTAATAATTTACTTCATTCATTCATTTACTCACCAAGTACATAAATACAATATTTATTAAGAATCTACTATGCTTAAGGTCAACAAATGAAGGTTTCTTGTGGGATGCACCTTGATTTCCATGGAGTTTGGTACATTTGACTTATTTTCCTAAAAGCAGGGCTTTCCTCACCCTGCCATCTATCATTTAGTGTGTGAATTCATCTCATAGGCAATAAAAGAACAGAGAAGTACCCAGGAGTCTTGAACTTAGAACGGAGGAATACAGACAGATAGACCAAAGATGTCAGCACTCAGGGCTACTGAGATGCGGGTAGACATCATGATTTGCTTGATGCCCTGATAGCAGAGTTTGCAGTGTGAAAGAAGCTCTACAATCCCCAGTACTATTCCCTGTGAAAAATGATCCAGGTGCCTCCCCCAATGGTGACTAAAACATACCCATAATTTCTTATATCTCCATTTACTGGGACTACTATGTCCTGAGTTTTGCTTTGTTTTATCTCTGCATCTCCACACTAATCAAAGTCCCTAGCATTAAATTGTGATGTATGAATAAATGAGCCTGATCATGGGTTCTTTCTGTACCTTTTATGTCCATAATTAATACTAGCATCCATTTTATTCTTGCCCCTTGATTCTCAAGGTATTCAGAAATGGCAACATGACTTTTCTGCTTTCTCTTAGAGAATTAGTATTCATTTCTAAGGATGTGTGTGTGTGTATGTGTAGCCAAGCACCCTCATGCCTAAATAAGCCAGGTTGTTAAATGACCTGAGTCATAACCCACTTAGCAGAATGAAAGGACTGGAGGAGTTGAGACACCATGACTGCAGACACCATTATTCCTCTGCCCACCCCACAGATGTGGGCTGTTTATTGCACCACTGTTACACAATGAGAAACCCATACATAAATCCTAAAAGCACAGAGAGGAATGCTGGTGATTCAATTCACCTCTGAGTCACTAATTAATCATGAATGGATAACAGTTTCGGGAGAGGGAAGACCTCTAAATCAGCATTCTGCAGCTTTTAGCAACAGCACTGGGAAAGTACAGTTCTGGCTCAGTGAGTTGGCTGATCAGCAAGATACATTCTTGGGCCGATTTTCTGCAAGATCCATATTAGATCTGGGAAAAGAAAAAGATTTAATCTCTGCCAGAATAAATATTTGGTCCTTATCTTGGGCACCACACATTTGCCATTGTAATCACTGTTTCAGAGAGATCTTCTTAATCCTGTTAGCTTGCCGCCAGAGTCAGTGGTGCCCCCTACCCAGATGTTTCTTCTCTGACAGTGGTAAAGGTGGCCAGGCTAGACCTCAGATGTGGCCTATTTGCAGTAATAAGATTTCATTACTGCAACCTCCTTGTCATCTGTCATGGGACCACAGTGGCATTATAATCTGCAGCTAAATGCTTTGTTTCGGTTCATTACAAGTCATGGAAGTCTTGTGGCAAATACCCATATAGTTTGGCCAAGGCTCGGATCTGTCATGCTCAGCTGCCATGAAAATCAACTCTGCTGGCTCCTGTGTCCGGAGAAGAAGAGACGTGAGGGAGGAAATGCCCTCACTGACCTTGGGCAAGTCACTTGATAATACACTCTAAGGACAAGATACCAGCTTTAGATACATCACGGGGCTATTTAAGGACAAAATAATAGAATGAATATGATGACTATGACAGTACTTTGTCAGTAATGAAACATTAAATAAAGATAAGAGACAAATGAGATCAGAAGAAGGAACCATCCAGTCATCCTACCATAGATAACACTTCATGATTATTGGAGAAGTTAACTGGTACAACAGAATAAATATGGCTTTTAGCATAGCATCGTTTAAGCAATAGCTTTGGCTTTTGAAGCTGTATGACCTTGGTCTATTTAGTTCCCTTCTGATTTCTCTCCTATAAAGGGATGTGTGGAAGGAAGGAGAGGCCAGTTGTTGCCTCTGAAGGTCATCGTGAGGATGACAGGAGAGCACATATGTGTGAATCACCTGGCACGTGGCTGTATTTTTGAACCCCAATAAATGTCAGTCTCTTTCCTCTCATTAGTGTCACTGAAGGTAGTGGCATGAGTTTAGGACTGGTGGTTTGGAGGCATGAGTTTAGGACTGTCATCAGCATATTTTGTAAAAATAAATGCAAATTTTAGCAAACAATACACACAAAAAAATTATGCAGGGTCGATTTCCTGTCACATTTGGAAGTTGCTATCGCTCACATTCTTTGGTGCCTTTTACAAGCCTCTCTAAGACGAGCAAAGTGTAGCTGCAAAAACAGCACGACTATAAATTTTAATAACTCCACACCCATCACCACTAAAGTTGCCACCCAGGCAATTGCTTCAATCTATGTTCTTCCTTTATATTAAAAACCAAAATGAGTGGTAAATCAGAAGACAGTCCCAGAAAATCCTCAGGTGCATTCAGGAATAAAACCGAAAAATACAGAAAATAGCTGTCTTTAAATAGCCAGGAAGTCATTCTTCATCAATAATTACTGTTTACAATCCCACCTGGTTTCCCAAATTAACCCAGCTCCAGTTTTCTGATCCTTAATCAGCCACTTTACAGTGATTGCTGCTCAGGTGACCCAAGAGATGCTACCTACACCATGGTCAGTCTTCAGGAGAAGACAGACAGAAGGAGGAGAAAAGGCCTCAGAAATAATGATCCCCCTGGAGGCTATCCCTTCATTCATTCCCGTGTGCCCCAGGGAGGGCAGAATGTACAGAAAATTGCAGCTGACAGAAACAGAACTGGAATTTCCAGATGTATTGTACTGCAATGGAAGCAGTTCCCGGGATCTTAACTGCTAGACTTCCTACAGAATCCTTTGCTCAGTGCTAGGCAGTGATGCAGGGTCAGTAAAATAAATAGAGCTTTTAGCATAGCATGGTTCAAGTAATAGCTTTGGCATATAAACAATGCCTCCTGTGGCCCAGGTTCTGGAAGGCCTTCCACACCCATTTCCATGTCTGGATCATAGTAAATAAAGTAATAAGTGGTGCTTTTTACCACATTTTTCTAGTTCTTTCCCATTATGTTCTCATAGTAGAGAGACTTGGGGTTTGCCTTAGGGTGGGTAGCACCAAGAGACCAAGAGTTCCCTCATTTGCCATCAACCACTGCGCCCAGCAAATTGCTGGTAGTGGCTGCTTTGTCGGTCTCTCTAGATCCTTGAATGAGGAAGGCAACACACCAGCTTTCGGTGGACACAGCTGACTGAGAAACGAAGCTTGGTGGCTTTATGTCACCGAGTCTTCAAGATTACTTGTTACTGCAGCTTAACCTAGACTACCTGGGGGGACAGAGTGGGTTGTCAGTAAATATTTTTGAATAAAATTATTTGCAAGTTCTTACGATTACCCACCATGGAATTCACACAGTAAGAGGCTTATCTAAGACTAGCACCGGGTCTATGTGATTCTAAAACCCACACATTTTCTATGTGTTATGCTTCAGTCACATGCATTACATGTTGCAGATGGGTAATCTGACAACGGGGCATATACATTACATATTGTATACTTCAGGTCTGCCTTTGTTAAACAAATGAAAAAAGTGAAGGGATAAATAGTGAACTATAGTGTGTGGTTGTGATAGAAATAAATTCTGAGAGTGTTTTACCACCAGAGAATAAATAGGATTTTAATAGTACAGGGTAAAATAGATTATTGGTAATACACTTCAATATATTCTGATTTTGTGCAATAAATCATAGGCAAAACATACCATCTTATTATGCTG